TTGCTCTCTGCCCCCGCACAACAATGGCTGTGCAAAACCCACATAATGCTCTTATGAGCAAGTGGGGAGTTGTCACACTAATGGCTTTTGCCCCCTGAATACCTCTGGCACCAGACCAAGGGCTGTTTAAAGTCAGGACTGGGAGAAGAGCTTGCCAGTTGCTTAAGTGGTCTCTCTCAATCCGAATTAAAAGAATTAAAATTCTTGGTGGATTACAGGCTGTAGTCATGACAACAAATTCCCTCCCTTTCTCTTTTTTCTGGAATTGTCTTGTAGTTCAGATATGGTGCCAGACAAAACCCCTCAAATTAAAGAAAACATGTTTCAGGTAATAGCAGCATTAAATTAAAAGGCAAATTAAACGGTCATCAGTGTTTTGATGACTCTGTATGGTTTATTACTGGTACCTTCTTGAGAAACTGGAAATCTGTTGGCTACCCAAGTCAATAAGGCTTTTGTTTGGTGGTATTAGAGGGAATTTTGCCAGCCTAAAAGGAGTGGGGATAATTACTAACAGGACTTCTTGTGTAGTGTATACCTGTAATAGCTAAAGGGAAAGCTGCTTAAATTTATTCTAACAATTGCAGATACAGCACTGGAGGAATCATTTGAATTATTCATTCTGCGACAAGGAAACATCCCACTTGTCTTCTCTTTAGAAATGAAATCCCAGTCTGATTAAAAATACACTTTTATGGGTTGGTTTCTTTTTTCCTAGAGCAATTTTGCCATTTCAAAACTTCTATTATAATTACCTGTGAATGCAGCTTTTTAAAGAAAATTATTCTGATTTCTAAAAGAAAGGAGAAACTGGTTTTTTTTTTTTTTACATGAACTGTTTCTTGTAGAATAAGTTTAATGAAATTCAGCTTTCTTTCATAAATAATGCAGCACTTGCATTTGATTAGGTGAGGCCTAGAGGAATTTCAACCTAATCAGATGCATAGCAAGAAGGATATTGCCTGCAGACTGTTACCATTATCAGTGGTGGTGGCAAGGAAAATACATCTCTGTGTGTGTCCAGATAGAAAGCTTTGTTTCTTGAGAGAAGTCGCAAAACAAGGCATATATGTTCCAGCTGATTCCTTGCATCTCAGTGTCCTGACTGTTTGTAAAATAAGGTCTGGCTTCTGAGTATTGTCATTATTGTGGCATAAAGAGACCTCAGGTTAACTGGAGACCTCCTTGTCCTGGTAATGTGTTTCTTTCTGACCCTTCCAAAATATAAATACATGGGGGAAGAGACAATCTTTGCATCAGAGAGCTTATGGTCAAAATAATCAGAGTAGACATTGCGAATCACTGGGGTCAATTCCAAAAGTCTTGAGAAACAGCACAAGCCTCCTGATAACATCAAAATGGAGAAAAATGTTCATGTGTCTCCATTCATTAAAACAATAGCTCACATACAGCAAACCAGTTTGCAAATGGTGTATCTGCAACTTTTGCAGAAACGTTTTGAGAGTTCTTAAGTGAATGTTGCTTTAGTTAGTTGTTTGTGGTCAACTTTTACACAGTTCTGTAAATCCAGCCACAAGACTTTGTTCTACTCTGGTTTTATCCCCGGGAAGTCATTAGTAACAGCAGTGGGTGTGCATGAACAGAGGGTAGTTTGAATAAGGCCATTAGGGCTTTAGTCAACATCCATACTAACAAATAAAAAAGGGTCTGGTCCCCATTCTCTAGCCCTGAGGCCGGGTGGCATAAATTGACCTGCAAGTATTCAGTGTTTGTATCCTTTGAGAAATAGTGGCCAAACCCAGCTTGGCTTCTGGGACCAAACCCTGGTCTGGACTCAGCCCAGGACCACTCCTGGAAACTATTTGAGAGTGGTGTGAAAGCGTTAGGAACCGTGTTAATAGTACAACAGCATGGATGGTCATGGGCTTCGGCTCTGGCTCTGGTTACTTGCCTAGACATGATGCTCTCTTAAGGGCTTGGTTATGGTCAACTCAGTTGAATGGCATCCTGCTCTACTGCCTTAAAGTAATAGTCCCAATAAAGCTGTAAAGAACTGAACCCTAGTGGCAAAACCCAACACCATTGCCTTATCTCACTGTGCTCAGATTTTTCTCACAGTGTTTGTTCAGGTATGTAAAATTGCAAATGTCAAAAATTCTACAGGCCAGATGCTAAGTGGGTTTAAGCTGACATTTTTTGCTAGCTGGGAGTCTGGTTTTTCGCTCACATTTCTTGGAAAAGCCAATGAGATGTAATGAATAAATGTAAAACACAAGAAATAGGGCCCAGGATACATGGGAGATGTACTTGCATCCTATGATTTGCTGTCGAGAGGTTTCAGCACTGAGCACAGAAGTGTATTTATGGAGCTGCTGGTCAGAACTGTGCAATTTAAAGGTGAACTCAGTTCCCTTTTTTAATCTTGAGTTTTCATTCCTCTCCAAATTGGTGCAAGGAAATCTTCTGGGCCTAAAATGTCATGGGAGCACCAGAGGCCAAGAACAGAATTAATTTCTGAGTTTGAGAGCAAAATCATCAGGTTTAGGGTTGTAAAATGTTAATCTGTTTCTTGCCCAAGAATTTTCTGAAATACGTTTGCCCACTTATAGCTGAAGCAGTTTCATGTCAGCATTAGAGCTGTTTTTATGTGTGAGTACTGTCAGAAGTAGTGCACAGCTTTTATCACAGCCAGCTGAAAAAAACAGCCTCAAAAATATAATTCCCAGACCTTTTGGTCCAAAACAATGCCAAAATCCCATGATAAAAATGGGAAACAAGGCTGAGCCCTTGGTCATTTGCCCTAAGGCAGATAAGACATTCTTCACTCAATATCCAGGTCAAGGTATCACATATAGTTGCTTCCCAAGTGCTGAAGAGCAAGCAAGCTTGGTCCTATTGCTCTCCTGCTGCTGCTGTGGAAAGCATTTCTCCTAGCTTGCTTCAGCTGGGGAGGTTTAGTCTTGATGACCAGTGGGTTTTAGAGCCAAGGTCAAGATCGAGCACTATATCCTCATCACTGTCTTGTCCTTCGCTGATGCTTATCCTTTGCTGATGCTTCCCCAAGTGCAGGCAGCCTCTCACATCCCAAAATGCATCAGGCTCAGTGGGTAGCTTCAGAGATGGAAAATGATACTATTCCTATGCCAAATGGAGTCTCACCATGAATTTCCTAGTCTGCTCCTCTGTGAAAAAATCAATTGGGGAACTCTTCGAAAATTACTTGAGCAGCGAATGCAGGTAGTGTGGGTGAGTGGAGACCCTGGACAATGCACCTGAGGGCCTGCAGCAGAAGTGGTTACGTCTGACAGACAGGATGCTTATCTGTACAGGAGGGAGGTTGATAGACTCTGCAGTCATTAGCTACTATGAGTGGTGGTCACTACATTTATCGTCTGTCATTATAACGGGTTTAATAAGTAATCCTGGGCTGGTAGGCTTATTGTTGGATTAAAAAAAAAGACTTTGGGCTCTTATGTTACTTAGTTGTAGGAAACATCCTGGGTGCATGTCCATTTTTCCTGGAGTTCCCTCATGCGTTCCCAGCTTCACCCCTAAGTAAGACTGTGCCAAAATCACTTATGTGCTGTGGAGCAAAAATGTGACTGATACAAATGTTGCAGCAGTGTATAAAATACTAAATTATTCATGGTACTTAAGCACAGAAAATCCCAGGGCTGAACTGACATAATGAAAAACTCCGGGCAAAAAAACCCACCATGGAAAGTCTTAGATTAAAAACAGTTGCAAACTTTAGATTCAGACTATATTATGGAGTCTTAATCCTTTCTTCCTTTAAATGCCACTCCTCATGCTGTACCCTGAGCTATCATAGCCGACTACTTTTAATGTCATTATCCACATCACTTTCCCATGAACAGGGACCTAAGGCAAAGAAATGTCAGATGTCTTGTCCTCATTTAAAACAGAAAATCTGCAGTGGCAGCGGGATTTGTGACTAGGTCTTCTCAAACCAAAGCATTGCCCATCAACCTCCTTCCTCCCTATCATGAATGATCATCTGGAGTTCAGTGGGCAAGCACCTGTGCACCATTTCATACCAGAGCATTGGACCTTCTCACACAGTTGGTCTTCCTGCTTGCCTGGGACTTGTGTGGGCTACAGCCATAGATTTATTTCTTTATTATAGTGAATCTCAGTTTTCACCCATCTATGACACAAAAGGTCCTGGGTGCTAAATCTTACCATGGTTTACTTTCTCCTCTGGAGTTTTCTGGTGGAAGACCTCCAAACCAAAATATTAATGTAGGAGCACAATTTTAAGAATTTAAGCAGCTGAATGGACCTTGACGTGCTGGTTAATTCATGGAGAACTTCAACAGAGATGCACTTGGGCCAACAGGTAGTGTTGTAACTGAAACAGATTGATGTGAAGATCAACAGATCAGTTAAAAGAACCAAACCACGTAGTAAAAAAGTGTAACTAGAAGCTTAGGGAATTCATACTGTTATGCAGTCTATTTCCAGATTTTTGTATCATTTTGCTTGGTCCTAAAAACATTGCTCAAAAGCTGATTTCAAGTTTCCTTTTGCACTTTATTATTACTTCTGTTGTGGAAAACTGATTTTAAAAAAACCCCAACCAAACAACAAAGCAGATTAATTAAAACTGTTTTGTTGGTTTTTGTATATTTCAAAACATATTTCCATCGGAAACGTATTTTTGACAAAGCAGTTTTAGCTTGTTTGAAAAACATTTCGCATAAAAACATTCAAGCTGCTTTAATCATTTTGCCTTTTGCTTGGAGGGTAAAAGAGACTTTCAGAAGTGTTCACTGTTCCCTTTTGCCTTGGAGGCATACAGGAACTGTAGAAGAAGATCTGATTTACAGTCTCTTTGGGAGTTGAAAAGGTTCCTCAGGGTCCTATCAGGACCTTCAGCAAATGAAGCGAAAACAGTGTTTCCTAGCTGACATCCTTCCCTTTACAGAGTGCTGAAAAGCAGTGTTGGCAGCATTAGCAACCTCAGCTTTATTTGTCAATTAGTAAATATCTGTAACGTGGTATTTCATTTTTCCTAGGCTGTACCCTCGTCACGCAAGTGCTCTCAACAACCTGGGGACGTTGACCAAAGATGTGGTGCAGGCAAAGGAGTACTATAGACGGGCCCTTCAGTTAAACCCTCAGCACAATCGAGCTCTCTTCAATCTTGGCAACCTGCTCAAGTAAGTTGAACACAGAACAGGCACCAAGGAAATTCACATTTTCTCAACTCACATCACCAAACTTAGTTTTTTCTGCCAACTGGTGAAGGATTTGCATTATTTCTTAGTGCCAGTCAAGAGTGCCAGCACAAAGGTGAAGTTTAGTTTGGATGTCCTTACGCAGTGTGCCACATCACTTCAGGTGGTATTTACAGTTGTGTTGCAGTTGGAGGGAATTCACTTGTTCCAAATCAGGCAACAAAATGAGGTGCCTAAACCCAGCTGGTCACCTGAGATTGGTGGAGAGACTGAAACTCAGATCTATACAAGAAGCTTTTCCAGTATGATAAGGAAGAAGTTCTTTACTGTGAGGGTGGTGAGGCACTGGCACAGATTGCCCAAAGAAGTGGTAAGTGCTCCATCCCTGGCAGTCTTCAAGGCCAGGTTGGACAGAGCCTTTGGTGACATGGTCTAGGGTGAGGCGTCCCTGCCCATGGCAGGGGATTGGAACTAGATAATCTTAAGGTCCTTTCCAACCCAAACCATTCTATGATTCTATGACAAGTTCTGCTAGGGGTGCGTTAAAAAAAGGTGAAATATCTCTATCCTGCATTACTGTGTTTTACGAGCAAAAAATACCTTGTTTTTTTGAGGATAGCATGCTATCTGCTGATAGAACTACATGAACTATAGTAGTAAAAATACATTTTTTCTCATATAAACTGCACCTATTTTGCTGGTAATAGGTCTCTGGTAAATCCTTTAGAGCAGGTTGGGCTTTAGTGTTGGTCCGGTTTTAAAGTGACACTGTCTCATCAAAACACACTTGATTTTTCTGGTTCTGAAATCTTTGAATGTGAGTTTATATAAAGGATATTATGTGGATTGCTGAAGTTCTGCCTGGTCTGTTCAGCAGTGGAGAAGTTGTCAGAATAATACTACAAGTAAACATGATGGTCTGAGGTTAGAATATGACAGATGAGTAATTCTTAAATAGAAAGTGGGTGAGGGTTTTACTGGAAATATTCTTTCACAAGAAAGAAAAATGGTGACAACAGTCTTACTACAAGAGAAATGGAAGGTCTTTGTATTATTCATCAGATTTGGTTTATTGAAATTAATCTTCAGTGGCAATGGTTTTTAAAAATACATACTGTCCCTTTAATTCATCATGTTTGCCTTAGTTATTATTCTCTGTGTTGTTTTCTTTTTAAATATAAAATATTAATACAAAAGGATATAAGCCAGAAGCAGCACCGCGACATCTCATGTCAATAATGTTTAAATCTGGCCTGTTGATGGGCTCTTTATGACCCAGCAGATGGGTAGAAGCTGGATTTGTTGCACTAGCAAAGCGCAAAGCAGACGTGGGAAAGTCTCTTAGAACTGCTGTTTGGTTTGTATGCAATATGTTAAGGTATTGTGTCTCCTTTTGGGTTGTATGTGCTCAGCATTGCTCAGTGGTGCCATACATTGTGGTTTTTAAAGGTGTGTGGTGCTTGTGCTAAACTCGTTAGAAGAAAGCGCCCAGGTTCCACCCATGAATGTACAGGGACATGTAACGAAAATGTCTGGCATAGGGAATTTCCAGTTGAATTCTGCTGAGTCCCTTACATCCACCCCTACTCATAGTGTAGAAATATGGTGGTGGATATTAGATTTCACCTCCTCTGGAGTGCTGAGAAAGGGGATCTCCAGGATTTTGGAAGGATGGGTTTGCTATTCCCATGTGGGAATCTGCCTCTTGTTATTTCTTGTAAATAAGCTCTCTAAGCATCAGTTGCTTGTGATTTACAAAAATCTGGTTTGAGGACCACAGGGTTGAATTTTAAGGTTTTTTTTTTCCACAGAAGTCCTAGATGAAAAAAGATGTTTCCATTTTCTGTTTGCCCATAATGAGGACAGCTATGTGCCAGAAGATGAATGTTCTCAGGAAGCATTGCAGAGTAATGGCTGAATAAGCCTCTGGTTTTGTTTACGTATCCTAAAATAAAATTGTATGTCATCATATTCTTGCTTAGAGTAAATATTGGAGAGTAGATAATTAAACAATACCAACAGATTTCTTAGTTAAAATAGACCCAAAGATGGCCTACCTTAAAGTGAGCAATCTCTCTGCTTTCATGGTCCGTCATCAGTGACACAGAGCAGCCTGATGCTGCTTTCTCGTGTTTTGTTTTGAAGCTTCCTATTATATAAATATTTAACTTCTCTATATACATTCATTTTTTTGGAGATACACCATGAAAAACTGAGATAAATATAATTCAGAATACCTCACAAATGTATAGTCTGTGGGATGTTCTGTAAAGAGACAAGAAATAAAATATTACGAACACTTGAAGTAAATATTTATCTCAGCTTTCTGTTGCAGGAAGAATGGGAGAGAACTTCTTATTTGCAGTACTGTATTTATCCACACCTAAAACACTCCAATATTCAGTACACTATTTCTTATAAAGAAAAGGCTTGTAACTCTTACATGCTTTGAGTGTGTTATTGTTTCATTTCCAAAGAGAAAGTGAAATGCCTAGAAACAATGCCACTGAAACCCTGAGTTTGTTCAAAGGACTCCTGTTCTGAATGTAGAGTAACACATAATGTGTCCTGTTGCCATGATTTAGTCAATGTTTAGCAAAACCATTTATTCAAGGGAAGGAGGACTGTCTGCTCTCTCTGATACAGGCTTCTGGATATGTATGTGTGTGCATGTGCTGACACAGGTTTGTGTAACTGCCTGAAGATGCAGATAGATATTATGTGTATTGAGATTTAAGATCTTTTAGAGAGTGAAGCATTCTGTGATTCCTCCCTTCCATTTAAAGAAGCAAACTGAGTGATAATGTTCAGTGGCAGTGCATCTAGCTTTCTGGATGGTCTCTGGTTAGGATACTCTACATTGCATGAAATACTGTAGTTATCCATCAGTATCACATACACATTGTAGCCTGTTTCTTAAAACAAAACAAAAAGTCCAAAACAACAAAAAATCCGAACTCCGGCAGTGTCAAATTTATAGCAGATTAAAGAAATAACTTAGGTTGGAATGGACCTCTGAAGATCCTTTGGTCAGTCCTGCTGCTCAGAGCAAGTCTAATTGGATCAGGTTGATGGGGGCTGCATCCATCTACATCTTGAACACCTCCAAGATGTAACAGAGATGCCACAATCTCTTCGTCCAACCTGTTCAAGTGTTTGACCACCTTTGTGGTGAAAATTATTTTTCCTTATACTTAATCAGAATTTCCCATGGTCCTACTTGCATCTGTTGCTTCTTGTCCTGTCACCATGCACCTGAGAAGAGTTTGGCTCTTCTCTCTATCGTCCAGCCGAATAGTTGCAGCCAGCTCTGAAGTCACCCCTGAGCCTTCTGTTCTGCAGGATGCACAGATACGGCTCTCTCAGCCGTTCCTCAATGCAACGGATGCTCTAGCCCTGACCTTTAGTGGCCCTGTGTTGGCCCTCTTGCACTGGGGAGCCCAGCTCTTGACAGACACTGCTCCAAATGGAGTCTCAAAAGTATCATATAAAGGGGAAGGATCACTTCCCTGGCCCCACTGTTGGCCTTCTTTGTCATGTAGGGTACATTGCTGGCCCGTGGTCAAGTTGTTCTCCACCTGGACCCCAGTCATCCCCAACCTGTGCTTGTGCACGGGGTTATCTCACTTCATGTGCAGGACTTGCATTTGCTTTTGCTGAAGTTCATGAGGTTCCCATCAGAAGGCCTAGTACCTCTAAAAAGCAGCTCTGCCTTGCAGTGTATTGCCCACTCCCCCACTTTGGTGTCATCCACATAGTATAGATGAATGGCAAAAGAGTGCATCTAGATTATGTGAATCAGTTTTAAACCAGGGAGTCAAACAGGCTTAGAGGCTTCCTTTCAGGCAGGCAGAGTTAGACACTGCAAGCTCTCCTTGGATTAAGGTGTGAAACCAAGATAAGATGTTCAGAACCGTTGTGGAGCCCTTACTGAGTTCTGTGTTTCTGGCTTTAATACAGCCAATCTAACTTTACAAAATAAAACAAATCCTGACAGTTAAAAAGTCCTCTAGATCACTAAGTTCTAGGTTACTCGTCATATTGCAAATGAAATTTGCTCTGGGGCTATCAGCCCACACACAGCCCTGTGCATCACCAGACTTCTGTGGGGTGGTTTAAACTGATGCTTGTCCAGCTGCGGGGTACTTGCAAAAATATGGAAGAGATGCTACCAGTGGAAAGAGCTTTTTCTTGCTCTGAGTTCAAGCACGCTGATTGTAGAGGGCAGGATGGGAGCTCGAGTGGAAGAGGGAGTCAGGAGACAACACTGTAAGGCAAGGTATTTGGAGAAAAATCAGATTAAGTGATCATAGACTCCTCGTATCAGTTGAATTTGTTCTTCCCTCTTTCATAGCGAAGGTATACATTACCTAGCTTTTCCTGCCCCGGATCCCCAGTTTATGGTAAATTAGCGTATATGACTGTTCCTCCAATTCTCTGTGCTCTCCCAAACTGCCAGAGATTTATAAAAGCCACAGCCTTGATCCTGCAAAGTATTGGCCTTGATCCAGAAAAGCACTTCAGCCAGTAATTAATTTTCAACTTGCATACATAAAAGTTAAGTATACGTTTAAGTGCTTGGCCAGAGCACTTGGTATCTTGCAGGCCTAAGCCCTCTGAGAAACTACTGGATCTGCTTCCTGTAATGTAATTCAGTCTGTCACATAAAAAGATGGCTTAATCTTTCTCTCTCTACCCCCACTTTCAGGAGACAAACATTGTGCTTGAATCAAAAGGAAAAAGAAAGAAAGGCCATTTGGGAAAAAAAAGAGTAATTAAGAGGGCTGCCCCTTCTTCAGAGTGCATGCTTATGGGTAATGGGAACTTTTATTGCTGCTGAGTGGATCACTTAATCCTTTTATTTCTGTAGCTGGCATTTCCTAGGGTTTTTTGCCAAACATCAATACCTTTATAAAGCAGTCATCTGGTTTTGATTTATAAAAACGTGTCACAAAACTCTAGCCAAAAGTTTTATAAATGGACAAGCTAGCTAGTTTCTAATTAGTGTAGGAGAAAAGTGGTTATTTATTTGTTTATGCTTCATTCATGTAATTCATATGGAACACCAATGTAAGAAGAAGAAGAAAACTGGCTTTACTTAGCTTAATGCACAGGCAAAATATTCTTCCAGCTACACAACTAGAAAGGGGAAAATTCTGCAAAGCCACAGATATTATCAGCTGAAGTTTGCACCTTATAAACAAGATCTGGTTACTTGACCATGTCCTTCAGATGAAATCTAAAGCTAAAGCAGCAAGGTGTTCACATATTTTGTGTCCCAGAGCCCTTTGTTTCTTTTTGTAAGCCCTGCTATTCATATTCTTTATACAACCAGCACAAGGAAAATGTTCTAGTCCAGCTAAACATCCTTAGATGTTTGTTCACGAAACCTCATTTTTCCAAGGAAAGTAATACACGGAGATACTGGAGAAATGTAGCTCAAATAGGTAAACATCCTTAGATTTTTGTTCAGGAAACCTTTATCTGTTTTCCATGGTAGTTAATGCAGAGCAAATCTGGAAAAAACCCTAGCTCATGAGCATAGCCAGCTTTCTCTGTTCATAATCTAAGGATCTAAAGAGCAGACTACTGTAGCCTAATGATTGACTTACTAAGGAATTATTTAGAGGTCCCAGGCAGATTTAACTTAGCAATGTTTTAATTTTGAATAGGAATTTAACTAAGTCATAAGTGAATCTATAACAACACTCTTTGTCCAGGAACATTCATCCGTTCCTGTAGGGAATGTGACTTCCCAAGGACATTGATGGGAGGGTCTTGCTCAGTACTTCATGCCTGTGAACGCTTTTGCTATCTTATCCTTCATGTATCTTTAACTCCTGATAGGATGAATGCATAAGAATGTGATATATTTGCCATAAAGAGAAACACTGAGAGAATATGTATGGTAGGACTGGAGAAGTTTACAAAATCTAGTCTTTATGACTCAACAGAGAGAGCATGTGGCCTGTACTGCTAGCCTGATAGCCAAAATAGAATACTTTTTGTTCTTCACTATGTGGGGCTGATGAATGAGTTGTTTTGGGGGGTGTTTTGTCTTCACTGGGATAATCATGTAGTGCTCAGTATGACAGTCACTGTAATAGCAAACCAAACAGCAGATTCATTAAAGCCTATGTTCTCCCAGTCCCTGAGAATAGCATACGGAAACAGTGATGGGCTGAGGAGATGCTGGGTATGCACACTGCGGAGAGGATGCGCAAGTGAATCATTTAGTCTTTGTTGAAAAGGTCAAGCTGGGGACTTCCATGTCTCTTTAAAGTAGTTAATCAGTGGGATGACTTAAACATGTGCTTACAGGAACGTTTCTTTCTTTCTTTCCTCCTTCCCTGTTGTGCAGATCCCAAGGGAAGAAGGAGGAAGCTGTGATCTTACTGCGGGACTCCATTAAGTATGGCCCAGAGTTTGCAGATGCTTACTCCAGCCTGGCCTCACTGCTAGCCGAACAGGTAATGGGGATCACTTGAGCTCTCATGCCTTCTGTGTGTGTGCATCCACTGCTGCTGCAGCACCTCCTGCGCATCCCAACGGAGCACCCTCACCTTGCACACAGGCGTGGGTCCCCCGATGTCTGCAGAGAGCTCTTGGGCTGCGTTAGAGATGACTTTTTCAGAATGGGAGGCAACTCATTTTCAGTGAGTAATTACACCCACATGATGTGTCTCTGAATTAAATCACGGTTGAAGTTGTGAGTAAACACCCTCTCTGCAGCTCCCCATGTCTATGGTGAAGACTTAATCCATTGTACTTTGTTGTGACAGCAGAACAGGCAAGCGCTTCCCCCTTAGACACACATGCCTACGTAGGTAACTGGCCTGGGTTCAGCTACAGCAGTCATTTTTTTCTCCTTCTTAGTAGCTGGTGCAGTGCTGTGTTTTTGACTTTCAGTCTGGGAACAACGCTGATAACTCCGATGTTTTTAGTTGTTGCTAAGTAATGTTTACTCTGACCAAGGACTTTCTCAGTCTCATGCTCTGCCAGAGAGGAGGGGAAGCCGGGAGGAAGCAGAGCCAGGACACCTGACCCAAACTGGCCAAAGGGCTATTCCATACCACAGCACGTCATGCCTAGGATAGAAACTGGGGGGAGTTATCTGGAAGGCCCAGATCGCTGCTCGGGTCGGGCTGGGTATCAGTCAGTGGGTGGGGAGCAATCATATTTTGCATCAGTTGTGTTTATTGGTTTCTTTTCCTTTTCCCCTTTTAGTTTTATATTCTCTTCCCTTGTTATTTGCTTTGTCATTATTATGATGGGTGGTAGTAGTAGTGGTTTGTATTATACCTGAGTTACTGGACTGTTCTTATCTCATCCCCTGGGATTTACATTCTTTCAATTCTTCTCCTCTGGGAGTGGGGAGGGAAGAAGGGGGGAGTGAGCAAGTGGCTGCATGGTTCTGAGTTACTGGCTGGGCTTAAACCACGACAGTAACATTGAGATTTCATAATAAATCACTCCAAAGCCAGGAAGTGTCAAAAACCAGGTGGGCTCTGCAACCCAAATTCTGCCCCTTGCATACATGCATCGGGATATAGCCCTTCATGACTGTGGTAGATGATCACATACAGGGGATGGGAAGGCTCACTAGCTTTATGTTGCTCTTAATGAACAGCTGTTCAATATTTTATTTAACCTCATTGTTCAATATATGCCCCCAGGCCTTATTTACTGTGCATGGCCAAGGCTGTGCTCTGGAGGCAGGATTACTCATTTCCTCTCAGGCTTGTTCCCATGCTCATTACTCGGGGCTCTCCCTACTCCCTGTAGTTAGGTAATTTATTTCTACAAGGTCCCTGTGAGGTGAAATATTGCCCCCATGGAGGAAAAGGGAAATTGAAGCATGAAATGCTAGAGTTCAGAAGAAGCCACAAAGTGTGGGTGCCCATGTCAAAACCACCAAGCCCTGACTTTCTCCATGCCTGTAGCAAGAGATGACGGATGCTGCTTTGGGCGTTGCTCCCATGGGCTTTGGCCACAACCAGTGGCCCCAGTTTGGAGATACAGGATTGGGTGACAAGGTCCTCATAACTGCACAGCTCCAGTACACCTCTACAAACCTTTGAAAACTGATATTTTTCTCCCCCAAGTTTCAGATCTAGCTGTTCCATAGCATGATGTGCTAAAGCTTTCTATAAATGTTGCCAAATGCAAATACAGACAAAGCAAAAATATATCCTATTTCACTGTTTTCCATTGATCTGGTTAGTGAAACCTCTCTGTAAGGGAAGTGGATAAATTTCAGCAAAACTGTAAGCAGAGATCTTGTTCTGATTTAGGTTTCTTTAATGATGTAAGCACTCTGCAAAACTCATGTATGATATATGTGGATTTCTGAAAGATGTGCTATTTTATTTTCCATGTTAAATTACTTTCAAGGGACTTTCTTTACTGTGAGGGTGCTGAGGCACTGGCACATGTTGCCCAGAGAAACTGTGGCTGCCCCATCCCTGGCAGTGTTCAAGGCCAGGTTGGACGGGCCTTTGAGCAACCTGGTCTAGTGGAAGGTGTCCCTACCCATGGCAGGGGGTTGGAACTAGGTAATCTTTAAGGACTCTTCCAACCCAAACTGTTCTATGATTCTATGAAATACTTGACTATTATCAGTGTCAGCTTCAGGGGCATAGAAATGCAGTGTATGAATTGAAAGAACAAACTCATTGAATAGGGACTGTGTTTTGAATAAACCTGTCAATAAAGACTCTCCTGCAAGTATAGGAAATGAGTCCTCCACAGTAATACCTGGTTTTAATATTAATTGAAATAGTTAATTAGAACCATCGATTGTAAGGTCAACAGAGCAATAAAACAATTATAGAGCCCTGAGGCTTTCTGCCCAAAGCAAATGCCATTAATAAATCCAGCAATAATTCATCTGCTCTTACATATAGATTGCTCACCCTCTTGAGTACGTAGTAGGGAAAAAAGATAGTACTATTTCCTCAGAAAATAGCTATTTCCTGCAGGCTTTTAACACCTTCTCACATTCAGCCACAGCAGGTGGTGCCTGATTGTGCAGCTTCTGCCTCACACACTCACCTAGTAGGGGCTGTCCTACAAATACGTTCTGCTGCCCATGGCTGTGGCTGCAGGATCAAACCTTAACGCTGCATGCTTCCTAGAGGGGTAAGAGCAGAAGTTTCAGCATCTTCATCCCAAAGGATGATGATGGGATCCCATTTTTCAGTTTTGGGTTTTCCTCTTTGTCCAAGCAATCATGTCCAAAATGTCTAAAAATTACAAACCCATCTTTCTGTCTACTTGTGGCTCAGCGTCTGTCTCACAGCTGTAGGGGTATCTGGGATGCCATGCAGTTTGCAGTAGGCTGCATGGACTTCATCACTGTGGAGCTTTGGGGAAGAGAGCACAAAGTGGTTCCCTCTTGCTGGGATGTGATAGAAAGGGACTGAAGTGTCATGAGTGGCATGTTAAAATAACTCACATGAGATGGCCATGCCCATGACAAACTCCAGCTCCTCCAGCTTTGCACTAAGGATAAGAAGGGGGGAAACATGTGGACAAAGCCCAGTGAAATATTGCCAGGATTACCTTGGTTGGTCCCATACGGCAAGTTCCCCCCCATCTTAGAGGCAGTGAATCCAGAATAAGGCTTATTGGTCCTTTCCTCCTCAAGCTGTAGAAAGTGCCCATAAAAGGAATGTCCCATGCACTGGGGAATTAGCCTGTAACTCGATGTTAATTGCCCTTTTCTCTCCTTGATAGTTGATTCTGAAGCCAGAGCTAACACGGAAAAAACTACTGCCACATTGTATAAAACAGTTTGGCGCATTTGTGCCTTTTGTCATAGAATGATAGAATGGTTTGGGTTGGAAAGGATCTTAAGATCATCTAATTCCAACTCCCTGACGTGGGCAGGGACACCTCACCCTAGACTATGCCACCCAAGGCTTGCCCTTCTTACTGCTTTTTCTACTTGGTGTTGTAACTTGGTCACAATGTATTGTTGTTTTCCTTGTTTTCCATGATCACTGCAGTGGTGCTAATATCAGAAACCAAACCTTATTGTTTGCTAATTTCACAACTCTCCTGGTTCCCCAGGATTTACTCTGATGCACTTGAACAGCACCTTCTTCCCAGCCTGTGTGTGCATGTGAAAACTGAGCCATGAAAAAACAGACTTAAACCCCTTGGAGTTCAACTGCAAGATCCTCACATGCATAATTTTTTTTAATATCATAAAAATCTTTTATTTTTTGTAGCCAATCTTCTGAATTTTGTGAGGTTGATGAATGTTTCATGAGCGTCTGGGAGTGGCATTATAAACTGTTAATGAGAATCAAGCCTTGATGATTTTAGAGCGTTTCTTCCAAGAAGAAGAGATGCTGTGAGAAAGCTCTGGCACAAAAAGCTGGTCCCACCCATCCCAATTTCCGACTGTGCTTAATGCAAGCACTTTGTTAGAGAAATCATCGCAGACTCTGTGCTGAGCCTGAGGCATGCAGGTGCCAAAAAAGCAATGCAACCATGATGAAAATGCTAAAAGTGCTCAATATTAGTGAGTGTGAATGTTTTGCCATGGGACACTGCTAATCCCGTTTAACACAGCCCTTCCGTGTTTTAAAGATTGGGTTTATGGTCAGTAAATAAAATGAAGAAAACTGATGTATGTGCACACAAAGCCACATTCCTTGACTGAAAATTAAAATCAAGGGAAAAGAAATACAGAAATCTTTGAAAATATGCTGGTTAATGTCTTGGTAACACAGATGCTTTCTCAAGAAATTGCTCTCATTTTAGTCAATGCTGATGATAGCTACACTTTTCCTGACCCCTCAGGATAATGATGTCAAATTCACATAAATATATCCAGAATGTCCAAACTTAAGCACTTTTTCAAAATGTGTTTCTGTGTTTTATCACACACTATCTTTTCTGCTGGCTGACCTTTATCATGTAAATGTGAAAGCACTTAACCATGGCAAACTGCACTTTCATCAAGTCACACTCTTCCAATGCGATTAATTCCAGCTCCCCAGTTCTGAAATAGGAAGTGAGAAAGGAGCCCACACATTTAATCAGCTACAGAGCAAAAGCTGCCATCAGGTACACCATTTAAATCCAGAGAAAACCCCAGAGGCTCTGGGATTCACAGGACTTGAGGAGAGCAGAGTCTATAGCTGGGGGTGGACTGACCCCTTATTTCAGTGTGGATTCAGCTCACAAGCAGGAGGTCTGCCTTGGTGGCTTCAGGCCCAACTCTGTGGAGACCCTAATGGCTGATTTCACTTGGGAGCATCGTCAGGAGGCTGTGGAGTTGGTTGCTGTAGGGCTGTACCACTCCATGGAAGGCAAAGAATTGAAAAAAGCATCTTTGGTGCTGGAGGCTTGCCTGACACCCCTCTGCACTCTGCTTGTCTCTGCTGTTCACAGCCTCCTTCCATAAATACATGCAACAGCAAGCCTCTGAGGTTAGGGAGGGGAGAAAGACTGTGATAACCCGTACTAGTGAGTGTGCAGGCAGTGGGCATGCTCTGGCAGGCTGGAGGGAAATGGAAACCTTATTAAATTGCTGTTTATCCAAACAAAACACTATTTTCATTTCAGGACCAGGCTGCCTGTAGCTCAGGCTAGACAGCGAGCAGCCTATGGGACACTTCCTGTAGGCAGGGTGTTCCCAAAGAAAAGATCTGTATATTCCAGAAATGCTCAGCACCAAGAAATGTCCTTTAAATCTATGCAAAATATAAGGGCTCGGTGCATCTGGGAATTGGCGTGGTGGCACATCCCATCAATCCCAGTGAGCTACATCTCATGCATTGACAATGCCTGGATTTGATCTGGATCTGTCAGATCTTCCCCACTCTTTGATTGCCCCCCATTCTGCTCCAGCTTCCCTTATCTCCCTTTAGAGCTCCCCATCCCCCAGCCATGACACATGCCGAGCTTTCCCTCCTTGTATTTTCCCTGCTGCTTAGGGATAGAATAGCAGAGCTCCAGAGGAGAAAAGTTAGCCAGGGAGATGCTCATTAAACAAATAAATGAAAATATGTCAGCTCCCAGATGACAGATATTTCTCAGCAGAACCAACACGACCCTGTCACTGTGTATTACCTGGCTGGATGCATGACCAGCTGGGGCTCACTAATGTTGCACAGGAGCCACCTTTTCCAGCTATTATTTTTGTTTCTCAGGTAGCTCCAATTGCAAACGTATGGGGGAAGGCTGTTTGAATTGCTCTGGGGTACCAGATGTCAGCTATACCTCATCCATGCCATGGGGTGTAATTCTGGCCTCCTAGATAGTGGGGTAGGCTGGCACCTTGAGCTTCTCATGCGGCAAATGGTGCTGACACCCTTTCTGCCACAGCTAAGAAATCTCCTTCTCTTTTAAGGAACGGCTTAAGGAAGCAGAGGAGGTCTATAAGGCTGGCATAGAGAATTGTCCAGAGAGCTCCGATCTGCATAACAACTACGGTGTTTTCTTGGTTGATACTGGTAAGTGAGAAGCAGCAAGGAATTTCCCCTTTCTGCCTTATTTCCTTTGAGTTGCTTTATTCAGCAGTATGCATCTAAAAGGATGTGCAAAGCTTCCAAAGCAATAGATGTGCCTCCACTGTAGCTTAGAAATAAATATCCCTGTGCTTCCGAGATGGCACAGCATACTGGAATTTGTAATCGATGAAGGCACTGTGCAGCAGTGGCGTTCAGCCCAGCTGTTTCCTTCAGTGTTTCTCACCATCTTCGTACAGGCGGTTGTCATCTTCAATTTGAGCTGGGCAGCACCCTGACAATACTGCTGTTTCTTCAGGAAAACATGGCCATATCAAACCGAATCCCAGGCACACAAGTGGATCGTTGCGGTCTTTGAAGCACTTGCAGCTCTACTTGTGACAAAGCAGCTCTTTGACTGTAAAGGTTGAGTGCCACCGCTATAAAAACAAACATGGCTTTTAAACTATTATCTGTGAAAAGAAAACCTAGGATACTCTGGGGTGAACTGATTTCTCAGGAGCTCCATAATGATGTCCAGAGCCTTTCTTTTCTGGGCTCCTGGTTCCTGTCCAACTTCTATGGACTCGGCACTTCCTGCCATTCACATAACAACAACAAAATGCCACTGTAATTGCTGACTTTTATTGACAGCTTTATAAGCAAAGACAAGTTTGACAAATGACTAGTGGAAATCAAATTACTGTCTCATTCTGCTCCTTCCAGAACAGAGCTGAGAGCCAGTGATGAAATATTGTAGGCTTAATGTGTTTGGTTGCTACCCATTCTGCCCCTTTCCCACTATGCCTGGCTCCAGTGGTGCTTGGGAAGAAAGCACAATGGTGCCCATCAGTCTGCAGCTGGCTGTCCTACATCTGAGCTGACACTCAGCTATTGGTCTTCTGTAGTACCAGTGTGAAATAAACACAAAGGCAAAATGAATATTCATAATCAAAAAAGGCATCTTGGCATTAGCAACAGAGGATGAGGTTCTGAATTAGTGCCCTGCAAAATTCCTCAGTATTTTCACGCTGATGTTGTGCTTATCTCTGCTTGCAATCCCAGATAAACTGCCCTTTTCCTGCCAAAAACTGTGGTCCAAATGCACTGCAGTGCACTTGTGCCAAAGTAAAAACTAACTTTTCCTGGTTTACTACCACACTTCCCTACACACAAACTAGAATTAAAAAAACCACCGACTTCTGGTACTTCAGACATTATGTGTAAATAACCCTCCTGGGGACATGACAAGACATGAAGAAAGTGGTTGGTAGTGAGCCCATCATAGGCTGGGTTCTTCCCCAGCGGGCACAGGGAGATGCTGTGAAGCACCACACCAATTAACTTGCAGGACTTTGTGCAACAAGCCTCTGGCAAGAGTCAGCTCTGGGAGCCGTAATAGACAGCTCTGCAGTGGCCACAGGCATTCATCTCCCTTAACGATGCACATTTCCCCTGTGTGTTGAGCAGGGGAGGCAGGGGCTGACTTACAGGCTCAGGTGCATGCCCAGCTGCTTCCCAGGATGTTTTGTAGATATGATTTTCAAAAACATCTGCCTGCTCAGAGGTGGGAGAAGATCGAGGCTGCTGCTGGATGTTTTGAAAAAGTCCTGCCCTGGAAGATATGTCATTGGCCTTTGATGAATCTTAAGTGCTTCTAAACCTCCCTACAGACGTCCCTCCTCTTTCCTGTAAAGGGGATGCTGAGAAGTGTCAATGTTACTTTTATGTTATGTAGATGGTCTCAGAAAAACCAAACTAGATCTGAAGAGCTATGAAAATAAAATTCCCACGGCAGCAGATGCTCAGTGCTCCAGCACGCACAGGCTGCTTTCAAGTTCTGCTTTCCAGCTAGAAATTGAATTAAATACATTGTGAAGTGATTTGGCTTAGAAAAATGCCAATACCCCAAAGTTTTGTTGGTGGATGAAGCTCTGTGAGTATCGGTTTTCATCAGGAGATTATCTGGTCTAGAGTGTGCAAACCAATTTAACGAGCACTGGGGTTAAAAATAAGATATTCGCATTGCTGGAATGCTGGAACTTTATCCTGTGCTCCGTTAATTTATTTAGTAGGTAGTCAGCAGGCCCTGCCTGAGGAAAGCACTGCAAGATCCTTCCCGAGCAAAGCCATTATTGAGCTAAATAAAAATACAGTGTTAGAAATAGAAATTTAGGCTTTGGGGCTAGTGGTCTGGCACCTTTCCTTTCTCACGGCATTGTATTTTGTGGTGGTGCTCGGTGATGTCATGGACTGCGGGACCTTGCACCAATACACATTGTCACACAGTGAAGCAGTGCCACCCAATGGCTCCTTTGCAACACAGAGATGGTGCCTACGTGATCCAAAATAGGCACCTGGGCACCTCTGGTCTGGGATTTATTGCCCCAAGGTAGGAATTACCTCGTCACTGGCAGCTAGTCCCAGTCCTGTGGAGCAATGCACAGAGACTGAGCAGTGCCAGCCAACAGAGTGGGAGGGAATAAGCTCTGTTGGGGAAGACCTGAAACTATTTGCAGCTCTCGTGGGGTTCTGGGGAATACAGGGTGGCTTATTCTCCATGTCTGTGTTGCCTGTATCTCCAATGGGCTAGGGTGGAAGGATGCTCTACCAGCAGATGAGACACATGGCCCAGCCCCCTCTCTGGGGTGGGCTCTGTGCTTAGCACAGGGGATGTATCCCCCCTGCAGCATGATTGCTACAACCATTGACCTGACTTGCAATAGCCCACCCCATGAAAATCTGCTTCTCAGGATCATCTCTGAATATTGGAGCCTATTAGTCTGGACAGCAATTTTCCTTACACTGAATCTCAAAAGGCTGAGGCAGGATTTCTTTCTCAAAATGGTTTCCATGCATAGATCAGCAGATGAAAGAAGAACCCAAAGCATTATTGTGTGCTGAATTTGTGACAGGCTTTTTTCAATGCACCGGTTTAATCACTCCGTTTCTCTCCAGGGGCTCCTGAGCGAGCTGTGTCCCACTACAAGCAGGCCATCCAGCTGAGCCCCACTCATCATGTGGCCATGGTCAACCTGGGCAGGCTTCACCGCTCCCTGGGGCAGAACAAAGAGGCTGAAGTGTGGTATAAGCGGTAAGAATTTGGGATGATTGATAAACAGAGGTTTCCTTCCTCCCCCCGTGTGGCTTGTCCTTGCCAGAGAGCCTCTGGCAGATGACTCTGTGAGTGCATGTTTCTTTCTCCATCTGGATAAAAACCTCCAGGTAAATCTCCAGGTTACCTTCGGTTAGTTGGCTATTTCTGGAGAGTGCTTGGAGAAGCAGGACAGACTCAGGCAGTGTTGACTTCTCTGGACCGTTCCCAACCCCCCAGGATGGACACACTGCTGCTTTTGGCTGGGGGATGCTCTAAAGATGAAGTCAGAGGGTTTTTGCTGGCATGAACAGGTTGTTAGCATGACTCCCACCCTGCTTGGAGCTGGCCTGTGGGTGCCGCACCAATAACAGCTGTAACTGCTGCACAGACCAGCACTAAAACCTAGGCACCATCAGGAATTCTGGCCCATCCCAGCAATGTGCCAGTAGGCAGGCTCTGACTATGCAGCAGGGTGGATTGTTTTTTTGGGGTGGGTTCCTACTTTCTGGCATCCAGATTTGTGTTCACGCTTCCCAGGTTCTGCCACCATCAGGCATCCTCACTCCTGATGCGTGCTCACATACACTTTGCAGGTGGCCCTCTATCCTTCTCAGGTGGCCAGATGGTTGCTGTTGTAGGCACACTCACCCCTCCAAGAGACCTTAAATTTGTGCTTTCTGGGGTGGGATGAGCAGGGTGCAGAGCTTCGCTGCTCTGTCCCAGAACAAGCCACACCTCACTCTTCTGCTTTGATCCCCACACCACCCAGAGCGTCTCTTTTTCCCAACTTCCAGGGCACTGAAGGTATCCCGGAAGGCTGAAATCCTGTCCCCACTGGGGGCTCTGTATTACAACACGGGGCGGTATGAAGAAGCATTGCAGGTTTACAGAGAAGCAGCATCACTGCAGCCTTCAAACAAAGAGATCCGACTGGCACTGGTGAGTGCAGGGCGAGACCACAAAAGTGTAGCACCAGTCACTGGGTGCAGCAGCATCTATTAAGGAGTGCTGAGCTTTTTAAGATCATAACCCTTTACAATGTGGCTCCATAGGCTCAGGTTTTAGCAATGATGGGGCGGACAAAGGAAGCTGAAAAGATGACGAACCATATTCTCAATGAGGATGTGAGGTGTCTGGAGTGCTACCGCCTTCTCTCGGCCATCTACAGCAAGCAGGAGCACTATACTAAGGTACTGTGGCTGCAGGATACCCTTGTCCCGAGGGCTCACACACAGAGCTCAGGTTGAATTTTATACTCCATCTCTCCAGAGACATGTCAGGTGCCTTAGTGCGCATCCAGTGGGTTTATTTTTTTACTAAAACCTCCTGTTAATCTAGATATGGGGTTTTTATCACTTACTGCTCCTGCTGCAGTCAATCCACTGCCCCTCAGCCGCAAGCGTATAAAACACTCGTTTCCATGTGTGTTACTGGTGTGGGGCAAACAAGGGAAAGGAGAAAGGTAGCTTTTATGCTGGGAGGCCCTAGTGGTGAGGAGACCATAAGTGCAAAGGCACAGAATACAGTAGTACAATGTCCTCTTGCATTTTCACAGGCACTTGAAGCTATAGAAAAAGCTCTTCAGCTAAAACCAAAGGATCCAAAAGTCATATCAGAGCTCTTTTTCACTAAAGGAAACCAGCTAAGAGAACAGAATCTCCTTGACAAGGCTTTTGAGGTACGACTGCTCTAAGCCCTATGAATAGTTTTGTAGATTTAAAGATAGAGTTAGGTCATTGCATCTAATGCTCCCTGGAGCGTGCACCCTAGTTGTTGGCCTTGGGAGCTCAGCAAGTTCACCGGTGGCACAGGTAAAGCTGTGGGGCAGCTAATTTTGCCAGACCTGGCTGCAACTTTTTTCCTTATTCCTGTATGGAAATAGAGCTCCCTGCTCTGAGAGGTTAAGGGCAGAGTTGCAGTGGGATTAGGGAGGAACCTAGGCCTTTTCTCATTGACCAGACCCTTGATCCGTCCAGTCCCCCTTCCCAGTGATCGCTAACTCCAGGTGGTTCAGCTGGAAGCATGGGGAATTGTGAGAACCCACCATGTTCTTATATCTCACCTTATTACCTAATAGCTGAGAGATTGGCTTAATAGCTCAGAAATTATCTTAGCATTAATATATACAGAATATTACTGGGACTGTTCTGAATATTCTCAATACCCCTCAAAATGTCTAATCCCGATTTGAATCCTTTCCTGTTGTGGCACCACAGAAATGATGTTTGACAGAGTCCAGAAGGTCCTTGTTGCACAGTGGCAGAAGCGGTGGGGAGAAACAGCATTGCCCTCGGGTCCTTGTGAAACCTCCATGCAAGTGGCTGTACAGTAGTCTGCTGCCAGCTCCAAATTAAAGCCTTGCAGATGAGGAGCATCACAACCAACACATGGCTTGTGGTTGGCAGGCACCTGCCCAAGGAAATGACCCTGACGTGCAGGAGACCTCAGTGGTGCAGAGAGAGGGTTGCAGGGGTTGGAGAGGCTCCTCATGGTGCTGTGGGCAGGGAAAACCTGCGAGATGAGCTCGGCAGTGAAGCAGTGTATTATGTTGCCTCTGCTGTGAAGAAGCTTAAATTCATTGTGCATTGTATGTGAGAAGAATTCCAAATTATATTTTTAATGGATTCAGAAGGAGAGGAAACTTTCTCTTTCCCCTCCTGGGAAAGATTTGTTTGAAAATTCAGACTTTTAACCTAAAAATGTTTCATATTTATGTAGAGCTATAAACAGGCTGTGGAGCTCAACCCAGACCAAGCGCAGGCCTGGATGAATATGGGAGGCATTGAGCACATCAAGGTATGACAGTTTTGCTTTTCCTTAAGATGTCAAGTGCAGAGACTACTATTCAGGACAGAAGGCCAGACTTGTTTCAGGCTGCCAAGAGCTGCATGTGTGTGAACAGTGAGTGTCCCTGACATATTTTATCCAAAAAAGGAGGAAAATCTGTCCACTCCAACTAGAATTTCCCAATCAGATTGCTTGGGAATATGTATCTTGTAATTTAAGTCTCATAGTTTAAGAGGGCAGGCTGCAAGGAACAACCTGCCCATCTCTAAAGCTTTCCTGCTTCAGTTGTTTACCTACCTTAGAAAAAGTCACCGTGAGTTAACTTTTAAGATTCCTCTCTATGGAATTAACTTAATAAAGATGTCTAATGCAGAATACTGGCATGAAATTATGGAAATAGACAGCCTGCCCTGTGATTGCTTGTCTTTTTGAATACTTTAGCATATCATTATGATTTGGGTCTTAAGGAGTCACATTGTGTGTTGCTGAGTGAAATTAACTCTTCTGGTACAATATAACGGAAAAGTGTAAATCTACTTCTTGCCATGTGTGTTCAATCACATTTAGGCTAATGGCACTCAGTGATCCATTTCATAATGAAGTATTCCTGTTACCTAACAACATCAGGTTTTATAAACTCTTCTTCCTTTGTATCATGGTCTTCACCATTCCCAAGGAATTAACTTTGTATGTCAGGGAATGTGAATGAGATCTGCCACTCATTTTCTTTGTAGGGGAGCTACATCACTGCCCGTGGCTACTATGAGAAAGCCTTACAGCTGGTTCCAAACAGCAAGTTGCTGAAGGAGAATCTGGCCAAACTGGATCGCTTGGAGAAACGGTTTCAGGAAGTCCAGGAGAAAGACCAAACATAGCATTCAGTCACCAGTGGAATGAATCTCATGACTCTTGGAGAAGAGTATGGTAGAAGCCTATTCTTGAAGTGATGCTGATGGAACTTTGATAGGACTCAGATTTACGGAAGGCAGATTTTGAATGCATGCTTATGTTTGACCAAAGTTACAGGAGACATTGGCTTCTGTGGGACATGCTGGAGAATGAACGAAAACCTTCCTTTAATCAAGATTTTTGTTTAGGCTGGACCCATTTTAAGCACACTGGGAGTGTGGGTGGGACATGTACCTTCAATATCTTGGTTATCAGTGGGGAAACCATGGAAACAAAGCATTCATCCATTGCAGCAGGGGTGAAGTAACACCTCTGGTTACTCAGCACAGACTCACCTTGTCCACGTAAAGTACCACTAATGGGCTTCATTTCAAGTGCTGCCAGGTCCTTTTGAGTCAGGATAAATGGTCATAATGGTCACATAAAAAGGTTTCAAGGGATTAATGCTGAGGAAGTGGTGGCCACTTGTACAGCTATAAATGTGACTTAAAATTATTCTAAAAGAAGGGAAAACAATATCTAAATATCACCCTAGAAGAATGATTCTACAAGTAGGACAAATGAACCTTTGAGGGAAGACCTCACCTGAATGTTTTACTCATAAGATAGTCATTTCGTAGTAATTCGGGTTTGACAATACTGTCAAATATATGGCTTTACCCTTTTCCCTCTCCCTCCAGGCCAAATAATTATTACTCTGAAAAACATGGAAGCATCCAAAGGCAATAGAAAGCTCTAGGATTACTTGTCCTCCTGTCCAGTCCCCAGTAAAGAAAACCAACCAATCTGATCAGTATAGGAGGTAAAGCCACAGACAATGAGGGAAGATTTCCTAGACTGGAAAGGTGCTAAGGAGGCTTTTTTTATGGGTATGCAGGGACAAAGCCCATTTATCATGGTGATAACACTGATAAAATACTTTATCAACGTGTCATCCCCCCTTCCCCCAAAAGATACAGAAAATGACCTATAGCTGATCAGTCATAAATCTATATTTTTGAATACTGAAGCGGGAAAACAAAGTCTCTTCAGAATTGGGGCTTTTATTTTTAAGCTTTATTTATTTAACTTATAATAATCAAATAATTAATATATTTTCTCTTTTTATACGAATTGGGCAGTACCCTTCACAGCTAGCCACGTGGCTGAGTGTTGTGACTTGTATTGTCTGAAGTTGGAAAAATGCAATACCACCACGGTATGCTTGAATAACTCCCCCTAATGATGTTTCTAAAGCAAATGGCTGCAGAGCACATTGGACCATACTGTCTCTGCAATAACAGCATTTTTGCTGCTTCCACAAGGTTTGTGGCCAGTCCCCATAGAAGAGCAGCCCAGGGTTTGACATTATTAGTAAAGGACAGTTCAGGTTAGGTATTTGATGCCTTGATACCTGCCAAGAAAAGTCAATGTGCCAGCGATCCATGTGGCACCTGGCTTTAGTTGGTGCTGGCCATGGCATCTCAGCAAGCTCCAGATTCTCTCAGTGTGATGGGACAGCCATGTGCTGGTGGCTTCATTTAGAAAGCTCTGTGTCTAGCCAGTACTGATGGTCAAGTTACTGACAAATTAACATGACTCCAACTGCATTTGGAGCTTAGAGGGAGTCCAGACTGGTGCAGATGTCTGCCCTGCCAGGGCTGTGTGCCCACCGAGATGAGGCTGGACTTGTGAGGTACAGATCCACACTGGCCAAGGAGACCAACCAGTGCCTACAGCTAGGCGGAGGTGAGAGGGAGAGAATACTGCAGGGGGAAAGGTGGTGACATATGTTTCTTTGCTGTCTCCCTTTGAGGAGCAGCTGGGACCAAAATAAGCAAGACTTTTGCTGGTGAATTTTCCCTTCTCCCCCCATGCCAAGCAGGCTGCTTTGCTTTATGGAGCCAAGGCAGGTTTTAGGTCCTGGGGCTGGGTCAGCAACCCTTGTCATTTCATGTGACTTTTATAGCCATGGGCTTGCTGACCTGAAGTTTCTGCAAGTCCGCTCCGCTTGATGCCATGCGTGGAGTAGCTTTGCACAGCCCTGCACTGCCAGGATGGCTGGGAGGAGATGGGGTCATGCCAGCAGAGTCCCATGGGATGGGGAAACCAAAGCTTAAATGGCCTCTGAGAGCAGTCAGTTCCCCACCGTGCATTGCAGAGTTGTACATGGTGGAGTACCGGGGTATTCAGAGGTACCTGCACCGTAAAGCTCTCTGCCTCTCCCCAGGGTGAGCCTGCCTTCAGCAAAGCCCCACGTGCTCAGGCTGTCTGGCTGCCTGTGGAACCCCTGCGTGGCAGCGAGTCTGGGAGCTGGCAGAGTGGTGTTAGGTGCAGCTTGGGACAGCGGTGCCATGCAAAGCCCCTTGCAGAGGAGGCATCTGCAGAGTGCTCTGACAGCTAGCTAAAACATGGGGATAGAGGTAGGAGGAGATACCTCTCATTTAAAAATGTGTATCAGCTATAACCTTTGCTTCATAAAGATATATTAAATAAATACTTATATATTCTGTAAGCCCCACAGCAGTGTGGCTTTAAATTGTGGCCGATGAAATGTATTTTTTCAAAGAAGTTGTATTTTTTATATCAATACTTTGTGAGGGGGAAGACTTGGTTTTGTGTTTTTAACTTTGGTTTAAATCTTAGTTTGTTTTCCCTGAGAGACCTGGTAGAAATGATTGTCTCGTTCTTGTCCTAGAAGAACCATCTTGACCTCCTAAAATCTGGTGTATGTGTAAAAGTATAACATAGATTTGGGTGCCTCCTTCCCAGATCCTGGAGAAAGATTACCATTTTTGCAACGCTGTCTTACTTGCAGAATAACATAGAAAGATAGATAGGCTATAGATAGATAGAGAGACTGTCCTCCCAGTGAGGGAGGTGGTTTGGTGGAAGGCATGATGTATATTCATCCACTCACCTGAATTAGGCAGGTAACATATCCATGGAGTTCAATCCCAGTTGAACCTGATTATGTTTATATGCAGAAAGGCCAACTCTCCACATTTTGGTCCTGGGTTTATGGTAGTTATGGAGAGAAGAGGGCTCAGTAATGAACCCTGCTTTCCTGAACTAGCACTTTATACCCCATCTATGCAGGATGACGGTCTGCAAACTGGCAGCATATTTGGAGAATGATTCAGACCATGAGCTACCAAAGCAGTTAAAACGCTTGTGAAGTTCTGAACTGACTCCCTGTCTCATTGGTGTTCATGCTGAAATGCTGTGTTTGTTCAGGACATGTGTGAAAGGTTTATTGCAGGCGAAGAAGGATGGAATATGGTATGAAATGGGTTACCTCCACCAAAATAGAATGCTATTGTGAAGATAAATTGAGCGACTTACCTTATGATAAACTGGATATTATCTTAATTAATCATAGGCAATGTCCTCTTCCTCTAGCATTGCACAGCTTCTAAAATAATGAGTTATAAATACATCGTTTTCTGCCAGCTCGAGCACTCAGCATGTTTAGCAAAGATTACAAATTAGTAAATGGCTGAAGCTCTACCTGGAGGGGGAAGAGTTCACTCTCTCTGCAAATTGCATTGGCTAAACCTCAATGCTCACCAATATTAAAGTGGAGAATTAACATAAAGCTGGTTAGACAGGACTCTTGTGTACTCACTGTGCATTTTAATCCTAAATGAAAAACATAATAATTGTGTTGCTTTTTCGTTTCTCCATGAATAATATTCTCAGCTGATGGATTTTGTTTTATTTTATTGCTTATTTGAAGTCCAGCATTCTTTGTTTCCACTCCTTTTCCGCCCCTGGGATAAATGGTGTGGTGGCGGCATTTTCTCTCTCTCATAGAATCCTTGGACTGGATTTTCCTACAAATGTGCAGGCAGCTTGTTTTGGCCAAATAGTAAGTGAATGCAGCAGTGGAAGTAGCCTTCATTCCAGAGATCTCAACAAGAACAGGGGGGTGTGCATACTTGCACATGGGTGGAAGAAGTCTAAGTCCAAAAAATCCAAAATTGGGAGCCTAACTTGCAGGGGAGGCTGGACACCCCTAAAATTATGCAAAAGCTATGAGAGCTCAACAGTTATAGAAACCAGGGCAGACATGGTGTACAATATTTGGTGAAAGAAGATAATTGTCATTCTAATTCTAGCAATTAGGCAAATTAGAATATACGTGTATGAACTTTTGCCCCACTCGTCCTCCAGCTCAGTGTAACAGTATATGCTTATATCTCCTCAATCTGTATGTGATTAAGTTGACCAAGTGCTCAATTTCTATTTCTATATATGCAATTATGCACAATCTTTGGAAAAAAATTAGCCCTTAGAGGGTTATTTTTTCCCCAACCATCAGTCTCTTGCAGCAGTTTCTAAATGCACCATTTTGCTTTCATGTACATTTAAACCCAGCAGCAAAATAAGAAAAAGAAGAAAAAAAACAGCGCTTGGCATTCACTAGTGATTCAATGTGGCAAAGTTGCTTCAGGTAATCTCGATGCTTTTGTGCAGAAGTTCATTGCCATGTTTGTACTGACTTGCTGAAAAACTGTTTCTTCTGGAAAATACCCCCAGTGGTATCCTCTGTAAAAGTTATGGCTTCTTCAGTCGTATTACCATAGAAATCTCTGCCTGAAGTGGATGTCACTCTGCGTGTTCCTCTCATGCAGGAGTTGTTTGCGTTGCCTGTTGTTCATATGGTTCTTACTTCTGTATCTATCTTTTTTCTTAATCAGCGGTGCATACCTTTAAAAAAAACCTGACAAAACAACCAGAAAACAGCCCGTGGATTAGAAATCTTTTTAAACTAAATTCACGCAGCAGCAGCCGGATGTACGTCAGTGATACAGGAATTTGCAAAGTCTTTGCTTTCTTCACTGTGGGATTTATGGCTAGATTTCACATAAAGGAGTTATGCTCAAAGACTTTGTGAAAGAAAATGTATGTAAATGTCTATTTTATATAAAAAGTAAAAAAGTAAGTGCTGTGTCTGGTTTTGTTCTCTTGGCTGTGGGGTCAGTCTGTTTCTTAGGACCAACCATGAACAAGTTCTTCTGGAGGTGGAAGGGCCAAAGTTTGTTACTCCACTTGACTTACATTTCACTACCGAAGGAATCCAAGTTATTGGTCATATAGGAGCAACTATGCAACCCATGTATTTGTGTCTGGCCATATAAAAGTACTGGAGCAGGCATTTTTTGGAGCCTGAGCATAAGAAAGGATGAGGGCTGGTGCTTACATGGTTATGATGATTGGACATTTTATACTGACACAAGATCTTCCTGTCAGGCTTTATACATCTATGGGGAATGTATCAAATAAGTCTACAGAGTGCAAAGAGAAAAACAGAACAGAAATTAAAAAGAAATCCACTTTGTTCTACTTCTCTTTATCCTGGCAGACATTTCCTGATGTTCCTGTATGCTCCCAGGGCTTGGGTGATAAACACCTCCATTGAAAATGGACCTGAAAGAGAATCAAAAGCCCTGAACACAAGCCATAGTGTTTCCTGCCATCTTGGTGTGTGCAAACCCCTCTGTAGCATGAAGGGGAATTGCACGCTCACCTTAAAGTCAACCCATACATCCTGAAGTTCTCCCAGATGCCAGCAGTGCAGGGTTTCCTAATGGAGCTTGCTACCCAGTGCCCACCTGCCCAGGACCTCCTTTGTACTGATGAAGAAATAAGATGTACGTCCAGGTCACAACCTGGCTCCTGCCCCGTGGAGCAGTGTAGAGCAGGTTTTGCCCTCTCAGCAGAACAAGGAGCACAGCATGGTGGTCTTGCCTCCCTCCATTGCTTGCAGACAGAGTTTGGTGGTG